ACTATTTTTAATTTCCATGTATTTGCAAATTTTCCAATTTTACTCCTGTTCTCGATTTCTATTTTCATGGCATTGTATTTCAAAAAGATACTTGATATGATTTCTATCTTCTTCAATTTGTTGAGAGACTTTTTGTAGCCGAACATATCATCTATCCTGGAGAATATTGTGTGTGCACTGGCAAAGAATGTGTATTCTGTGGATGTTTGATGGAACATTCTATATATGTCTGCTAGGTCCATTTTTTCTATAATGTTGTTCAAATACACTGTTGCTTGATTTCCTATCTGATGATCTTTTCTATTGTTGTGAGTTGGGTATTAAAGTTCTCTATTATTATCGCATTGCTGTTTATGTCTTCTTTTAGTTCTGTTAGTATACTTTATATATTTAAGTGCTCTGATGTTAGGTGTATAAATATTTATTATCATTATATCTTGATGAACTGACCCCTTTATTATGATATATTGACATTCTTGTCTCTTGTGACCATTTTTGGTCTAAATTGTATTTTGTCTGATATAAGTATAGCTACTCCTGCTCCCTTATGGTTACCATTTACTTGAAACATCTTTTCCCATCTCTTCACTTTGAGCCTATGTGTTTTCTTAAGGCTAAAGTGAGTCTCTTGTAGGCAGCAGTATCATTGGCTCTTGTTTTTTTTAATCCATTCAGTCATTCTATTTCCTGATGGGAGAATTTAATCTATTTAAATTTAATTATTGATAGATATGAACTTACTATTGCCATCTTGTTAATTATTTTACTGAGTGTTTTGGAGTTCCTTTCTTCCTCTCTTGCTATTTTCCTTTTCATTTTCATGACTTCTTGTGGTGGTATGCTTTGATTCATTTATCTTAATCTTTTTGTTTGTTTGTTTGTTTGCTTGAAGAAGACTAGCCCTAAGCTAACATGTGTGCCAATCTTCCTCCACTTTATATGTGGGTCACTGCCACAGCATGACTGATGAGTGGTGTAGGTCCTTGCCCAGGATCCAAGCTGCGAACCCCAGACCACCAAAGCAGAGCTCACTGGACTTAACCACTATGCCATGGGGCCGGCCTCCATTTACCCTAATCTTTTGTGTATCTATTACAGGTTTTTCCTTTGTGGTTACTATGAGGTTTACATAAAATATCTTAGAGTTATAACATCCTATTTTAAGCTGATAACAACTTAACTTTGATAACATACAGAAACTCTATAATTTTACTTCTCCCTCTACTCACATTTTAAATTACTGATGTTATAATTTACATTGTTTTTTATACTTTGTATCCAATAACCAATTATCATAGTTAATAATAAATAGTCAAAATAATAGGCAGAATAATCAAATAGTAGGCAGAAAACTTTTATCTGGGAACCCTTTTAGACTCTTTTTCCAAGCTTGTCCTTGTGTGATTATGTGAATGAACATACATTTGCATAACAGCCTCCCTTCTCTTGATGTTTTCTTGTCCATCCCCCTCACCTCTCTTCATCAAATGACTTTTGATAGGCTTTGTCAACTTCTGAAATTCCAGGGAATTGGAACATTTTCTTCAAAATACAGTACAAAGGTATCAAAAAGACACTAGGAAAATTTCAAGAGATTGATTCATTTCTCATGTGTTCATGAAACTCTGCCTTTATACGTAAGAATCACTACCATTAACTGACTGCTTATCATGATATAGTAATGTCCCAAATGCTTTACATACATTATGTCACTTATGAATGAAAAAACTGAAATTTCTATTGAACTTCAATAACTTTCTCTAGGTCACACAACCAATATAATGATAAAGAATTTAAATCCAGGTCTTTCTTTCTTTCCAAAGACTGCACTCTTAATCATTATACTATATCATCACACAATTTGAACTAGTAGATTGATCATCAGATACAAAAAACAAATTTACTCTTTGTTCAAAGAAAGAAAAAGAAGAGAAGGATAATAATGAACTTCTTTTAGTTTTCTTCTAAGATGAGATGCTGCTATTGCGATCCCTGGATAGGGCCTGTAGTGGCCACTGTTTCTCCTAAGGAAACTCTAGGAAGAAGTGAAAGGAAAGCTTTTCTTTTGTCACTATCTCACTATTCAAACAAAGGGCTCACAATATGTCATCACTTTGGCTCTAATCCACTCTTTTTCTGTCACCCCACTTTTTAGTATAACCTGTTGCTATTTCTTCCTGTTAACCTTGGCTTTAGTGTGTCACTTTCTTTTTTAAGCAAATTTTGTCCTAGTATTTATATATAGTTTTTAATGGTTTTTATTTTTTAATACCTCAGTATTCTTAGCATGTGTAAACAAATTTATTTTAATCTGCAACAACACTTTGTTGCTAGTGCCATCAAGTTGATTCTGACTCCTAGCAAACCTGAGTACAGCAGAACAGAATGCTGCCCATTCTTCTTGTACCATCCTCTCACCTTCTGGTGCTCCACTGATATTCATAGAGTTTTCAGGGCCAATTTTTTGGAAGTGGGTGGCCAGGTCCTTCTTCCTAGTCTGTCTAGTCTGGAAGCTTCACTGAAACCTGTCCACCACGGGTGACCCTGCTGGTATTTGAAATATTGGTGGCATAGTATTCAGCATCACAGCAATACACAGCCACCACAGTATGACAACTGACAGATGCGTGGTGTGGCTCCCTGACCAGGAAACAAACCCAGGCCATGGCAGTGAGTGCACTGAGTCTTAACCACTAGACCACCAGAGCTGGCTGCAACAACAGTTTAGAGTGGCTTTATTAGCATAAGGTTATAAATAGTTATCTATTTGAGAAATTTGTTATGTTTAAGATTTGTATTAGGTTAGAAGAGAGGACCTAGCACCCTTGCACATATAAGGTCTAAAAGATTGCAAACCCAATTATCTGTGCCAAGAGTCGGAAAACTATGGCCCATGGGCCAAATTTGGCCAGCTTCTTGTTTTTGTAAATAAAGTTTTATTGCAATACAGTTAGAGTCATTTGTTTACATCTTATCTATGGCCGTTTTTGTGCTACAACAGTGGGATTGAGTAGTTGCAACAGACACTGTGCAACCCACAAAGCCTAAAATATTTACTATCTGGTCCTTAGTGAAAAAGTTTGCTAATCCCTCAGCTACACCATTGGTAAACCCGAGTCTCCATATTTTTACCGTCAATATTAGTTTCCTCAATATCCAGGAAAGCCACCAGCACATATGTTGGGGTTTTGTGATGGCAGGACTCTTACTTTTGGTACCAAGTTCTCTAAAGTTTAAATCACTATTAGCTGCTGGCCTAATGTAATTGATGGGACTACATTCTCAATATAATTGAATTTTCTTTTGGATCATGTAAGGAACAAAATAGATGTTCTTGATCATGCCACAAGCAGTGATTCAGGAATCCAAGCTCTTTTCATCTTGTGGCTCAGCCATATTTAACACTTGGTTTTCAAGGTCACTAAAGAAGAGGAAAGATCATGGAGGATAGTACATGGTATATCTGGAAGGGCTGCCAATCACTTTTACCCAGATTCCATTGGTCAGAATTCAGTCCTGTGCCTCAATTAACTATGCAAGGGAAGCTGGGAAATATAGACTAATTGTGTCCTGGAGAAGTAAAAGATAGGTCTAGTGAAAAGCTAGCCAGTCTCTGCCACAGACACCTTCTGCAGATAGAATTTATCAGGCTTCGTACTTAATAAGATGTGGTAGGGTAAGAGAAAGGAGTCAAGAATATCATTTAAATTTTCAGTATGGGAAACCATTTGGATGATTATGAATCTATGGGGTTTGGGAATATAGAAAGACAAACAATATTGGGGAGAGGGAAAATAGTAAAAATAAAAAAATGAATTCTATTTTAATGCATGATTTTTAAAATATTTTTAGGTCTTCTAAGTAGAGGTGTCTAGTATGCATTTGGAATATAGGAGACATATTAATAACAAATATATAACCTAGACATACATATTTTTAATTCTTCAAAATATAAACAGTAAGTGGCAGTAAAGGTCATGAGATTGACCTGGGACAGCATGTAAATGGGAAAAGAGAGCTATAAACAGAAAAGGTATTGTGTGTAATGTATCTGCTTTAGTACAAAGTACTAGAAACACAGACATGAGTAAAATAGTCTTTGCCTTCAACAAGCTTATAGTTGGGTGAAAATAATCAATTTTCACCCAATTTGCTTACCTGCTGTGTGATAAAGGCTGTAAAAGTCCATGGTATGGAATGGGAACATAGAGAAAGAGCAACAAACATTCAATAAGTGTATTGATTAAATGAATGAATTATATTCAAATATATCACACAAAATATTCTACTATTCCTTGATGGTATCCCTAAAATCTTACGTAGATAGTTGGCAAATCCTCTCGTAACTACACAGAGAAGACTTCTGCCTCCACTTCTACACACTTACCTTTATTAAAGGCTCCCTCTGTGGAAGGCATTGTGTTGTTTTGTGTTTTTCTCATTTAAGTCTCATAGTAATAATATATGAAATGGATTATTATTTTCATTGAATCCCCAAAAAGATACATATTATTTCCAAATGCGGAACAGAAAACTAGGGTAACAGAGAAATTATTGTCTAACTTGTTATGAAAACCTACATATGCCATGCTTTTCACCACCTCACAGTATCTCCTTTTATTCTTTTTGAAGAATAATGAAAAATACTGATATGATTTGCTCATTAATTATCCACAAATTAACAGGAAAGTGAGAGCTGGTGCCATGGATTTAGATAGAAAATTAGGAAAATATCACCAGCATTTTTTAGCAGTCCATCATAGGAGCACAACTGAATAACTGCTGTTGTAATATACTCAATTTTTGGAAATTTACCATAGACTAATAAAATTAGAGAATTTTTAAAAGAAGGTAACTGGTGACTATTAAAGAGAAATTTTGAATGGCATTAACTATGTTGTATTAAGTAAGCAATGTCATAATCATAGTGAGACATTTATCTTCTAGATATATGAAAACACTGTTGAAAATTGACAAATTTTACAAAGAATTTTGTCTTTTTAAAAATTTTTCTTTATTTTTCAAATTTTACACCATGAGTATGTACTAAATAGATTTGAAATTAATATATGCCATTTCTATGTACTTTATGATCACAATTACATAATTACATGTGCCTTCTCTCTCCTTTATGCCCCCACATATAAAATACATAGAATGCAAAAATACAAAAATCTTACAATCTCCAAGGAAGTTAATAGGAAGGTTTAACTTCCCTTTTATATTTCATGTTTTCTGAATTTTTATAAGAGCATGAATCATTGATATAATGGTGAAACATTTATTTTGAAAAAATAAATTCAGAAATCATTTTCACAAAATAAACAGGAAATATAATTAAATATCTGCAAGCAGGTAATGAAATTAATCAAAGTATACAGTGTCTTAATAAAAGTCAGCAGCTGGGGCAGAAATTACTATGCTAAGGTTGCCAAAGAAACTGAAAATAGCTTATGAATTGCTATACTCATGATATTAAACAATATAAGCAATGCCTTTGCAATATTTCTTGCAATAAATAAAATCAGTTTTAATTGTTGCTTGGACATCTTGATATATAAGGAAGCTTTTGGGGGTCCCAAGTCAATTTGATTTCAGTTAAATTATGATCAAAAAGAGAAACATTTTAATTATTCTTTATATTTTTATAAGATTTAAATACAAATCCATCTTGTGACATAGAGTATTTTTTCTTTCATAGTATTGTTTCAAAGTCCTTTAACTAAAAATAATGCCTATAATTCAAAATGATCGTAGGGTGTGATCTGACATTGGTTCATTTTGTCACTCCATGGGGAACTTTAAAGACTAAATTCGTTTTCACAATTGCAACTTTTGTTTTAGCATCTTGGAGTCTTTCACAAGCTTTCTGAAAGGCAAGCATATCAATAACAAATTTTTCTTCACAGTGTCTTTTGTGTGTTTCTTGAGCCCTAAGAGGTAAAAAGAAAGGTAACACAATGAGATACTTTTAAATGACTAAAACCATAACAATCAATCAGATTGTTAATGATAATCAGATATCTTCAAAATAGATATACACAAATGAGAAATAGATAGAACTCCACTTACTGCACAGAATTTTATTTTACCACTCAATAATATTCATATTGGGCAATATTACTAAGCTTTTTATTGGCTGTAACTGAGAATTCTCACAAACCCTAACTTAGATTCCTAAAGGGCATCCAAACCATACTCTGCCATGATGTGCAGAACTTTTACTTAAGCTTCACTAACAGAAGCTTCTCCTAGGACTCTGTTATGGACTAAATTGTGCTCCCAACCCCCAAATTCATGTGTTGAAGTCCTAACCCCTAGCACCTTAGAATGTGACTGGTATTTGGAGACAGGGACTGGAAGGGATAATGAATCTAAATGAGATCATATGGGAGGCCCTAATCCAATATGAGTGGTGTCCATAAAGAAGATGAAGAGACACCAATGCTGTGCACACCCAGAACAAAGGCCTTGTGTGACAACACAGTGAAAAGGCAGCCGTCTGCAAAGCCTAGAAAAGCCTCAGGAGAAATCAAACCTGGCAACACCTTGGTCTTGGACTTTCAGCCTCTAAAGGTGTGAGAAAATAAATTTCTGTTGTTTAAACCACCCAGTAATTTGTTAAGGCAGCCCTAGCAGACTAAGACTCTCATTATGTTAGAGAAAGGTGAACCAGGTTACTCTGTCAAAGCTGGGAAATGCCATGGCCTTAGCAAATTCATTCACTCATCTTCATTCATTCAATAGTTATGTATTATAATGCTTGGCACTATCTCTAGATGCTGAAAACATAAAGATAAATATGACGTGACATAAGTGAGAGAAGCTTATAGAAAGTAAAGAGAAATAAAGGTTTATGAATATACAGATGAAATATTATAGTAGCATAATGAAAGTACTATGTAATAAGGCAGAGTGAGGCATGATGAAAAAATTAGTAAATATAACCTGGAGAACAGAGTGAGGGAAGATAGGAAAGGCTCCAGAGTTGAAATAACCCTTGAACTTAACCTTGAAAGATAGGTATTTTCCAGGCAGAAAGTGGAGGGCAAGAATATTTTGTTCATGCACATTTACTTATATAGCATGAATAGCTAAAATAAAGGTGGAGAAGGTAGCATAGCTTGACATGCTCCAAGAAGTGACAACACTACAATTCTCTGGGTCATACAGTTCTGATAAGGAGAACAGTGGAGCAGACAAGCCTGGAGAAACAGGCTTAGACTCAGTCATGGAGCCCTCTATTTCTATTTGGGTGTACTCAAAAATCTGAACATCAGGAGCAGAAGAGAGGACTAAGTCTAGAAAGTCTGCAACTTATTGAACTAAGTTAATATATTTCAAATCCTTAGAGGAGTGCCTGACATTTAATACTTCCTTTTACTAGATGGTGGCATTCATCAGGGTAGGAAACGTAGGAAGAGCCAGATGGGGAGAAAGATTGGAGTTCTGTTTTGGTAATATTGAATTTAAAGAGTCTGGCTATCCCTGTGGTGATGCCCAGGGAGCTGAATATAGAGAAACAATGGCTTACAGGTAAAAGTATAGGTAGTGAAGCCACTGTGCTTGGGTTTGAAACCCAGATCTGCAAGTTATTGAGTGAATCTGGACAATTTATTTAAGCTTTGTCTGCATCATTATCTTCATCTTTAAGAAGGGACAATCCAACTCAGAGGGTTTAGTAAGGAGTAAATGAGCTAATACATTTAAAATCCTTAGAGGAATGCCTGTCATTTAATAATCACTCAATGAAATTAGTTAAAACTATTTTGAGTCTGGAGCTCTGGAGAGTAGTCATGTCTGGACATGTAGCAGAGAAGAAGTCATAAGAAAAGGGACTTTGGAGATGTAATTAATGGTACTAATTAAGTCTAAGAAATGTATTGAAATAGCCCTTCTAAAGATAACAGTTATAAACTGTGCACAAAATGTAAAAGACCAATTATTTAAAAGAATTAAAGATTGAGAAACACAATAATCTATTGTATTTATATATACCAGAATCAAACAGTTGAAAAGTGAAATTATGAAAGAAATTCCAGTTACAATACTATCAAAAAAACGTAAAATACTTAGCCATAAGTTTACAAAAGATATACAAGGCCCATGCCTGAAAATGTTAAAATATTGTCAGAAAAAAAATTAAAGAAGACCTAAATCAATGGAGAGTTATATCATGTTCAAGGATTAGAAGACAATACTATTAAATATCAATTCTTCCCAAATTTATCTATAGAGTCAATGTAATCCAAATTAATATGCCAGGAGCTTTTTGGGTGGAAATTAACATTTAAATTTGTTTAAATATATGAGATTAAATTTAGATTATGATTTATTTTAAATGTATTAAATTTAGGTATTTTGAATTTATTAAAATTTAAACTTATATGGAAATGTAAAGGTCCTGGAATACCAAAGCAATCTTGAAAAAGGAAGAACAAAGTTAAGAGTCCATATTTCCTATTGCTATGTAACAAATTATCATAAATGTATTGGTTTACAACAACAATCATTTATTATCTCATAATTTCCATGGGTCAGAAGTCTAGGCAGAGTATGGCCCAGTCAGGTTTTCTGCTTAGGTTCTCACAGGCTGAAACCAAAGTGTCAGCCATTACTGTGATTCTCATCCAGATCTTGAGGTCTCCTTTCCAAGACTGCTAGTTATTGCCAGAATTCATTTTCTTCTCACTCTTTCCACATAACCCCCTCCATCTTCAAGTTAGCAATGTCATATCAAATCCTCCTACTTTGAATCTGATTTTCTCTTCTGCCTTTAAAGGCTCATGTGATAGACATAGGGCCTACCTGGATAATTCAGGGTAATCTCCTTATTTTAAAGTCCATAAATTAGTACCTTGAATTACATGTGCAGAGTCCCTTTTGTCGTGTAGGACAGTATATGCAGGAGTGTGGTATCTTATATTCATAGTCCTAAGGATAAGGGCATGATATCTTCTGGGGGGCCATAATTCTGCCTAGTGCAGAGGCCTTTCATTACCCAATTTCAAGCCTTCTAAGAGCACAAGCAGAGGAATTATGAGCTTTTAACAGGAAAATGAAGAACCTAGTCCTGGGACAGTTAGAAAAAGAAGTTATTAAATATAGCATATGTCGAATTTTATAAATATGGATATAGAAAGTTGAATGATGTCAAGCTTAAGTCCTAAAATTTCTTTAGGAAATAGATAAATTGGCTTGCTGAAAAGGATAGGTCAGAGGTGGTGTTTGGAAAGGAAGCTCTATAGTTGATGAAGGTTGCACATCACTTTTGTAGGTAATAAAAGAAAGAACAAGCACCTAAGGGAATAGCTAAAGTCAGAGGCCATATAATTAACATCAGCATAAATCTACAAGTCAGTGATGTTGTCAAATGTTTTTACCTGAATACAAGAAGTGAAGATAGATACTTAGATTGTTCCAAGGTAGGAGTTGGGGTGGTTAGCATGGTGGAGGCAATGAAAAGAAGGACCTTCAGAGACAGTGAATGGAATGGAGAAAAGAATAACTGAATTGAAGAACCCTGGAAGTTACACTAAAAATGAAAAGAAGTCTATAAGGAAGGTTATTTGAGGGGTGACTGTCACAATATATTCGAAGAATACATGTGGGAAAAGTAAAGGAAGGAAATATTTGAAAAGATAGAAGATTTTAGCCATTTACAAGTATATAAGAGTTTAAAATTTAAGAAGTGGGGCAGTCCCAAGTGAGGCAGTTCCAAGAGGGGGCTTTTATGTGTCTATGGAAATGAGTTTAAAGGTTGTTGGGATCCAAAAATGTTTAGGTTGGGCAATTGGGAGGGTTGTTCTTATAAATTTAGAAGTTAATCACGATTATGGCAGAAGTTGGATGGAGAAAAGCTTTATAACTCAGGATATGAAGACCACAGCAAATGAAGAGCATAGTCTAGGAGGTCTGATGATCAAAATAAGGAGGAGTAGAAGATGATGTAACTGGATAACTGCCTTATATGCCAAATATTCCATGTTAATTGATACTCTACTTGAAAATGGACACCCTGCTGTTCTGACCTGAGCAGTATCATCACTTTTTCAGAGTATGGACAAGAATATTTTGGGAAATTCATGATCAGTTTTTACTTGATATATAAGTTCTTTCATTTCAAAGTCTCGTTTTAATTCATTCTTAAATATCTCTGTAGGTATTTTTATCAACTTCCTAAGCTAGAGTTTTATAGTTCCCTTCTTCTTTCATTATTCCTCATTCCACAGAAGGATCAAGGAGCTATATTCTCAATAATGACTTCACTAGTAATTAAGATTCATCAGGATGCTTTTATGTCAAGTGTTTGATAAGTTAATGAAGAATCACCAGCAGAAAACAAACTGAAAATCTCTAGACAGTCTCTACTTTTTTGAGTCACAGCACTTTTGAACATGTTGATACTCAATCTCTATTTGAAAACATTTGTAATAAAACTCAATAATGCCTTTTAGGACACACTACTGATATAACCAGAACATTGCCTTATTCCTGTGTGCTTTCAAGGATAGTATCTTTGCAGCAGCTTGCAAGAGAAGATAATTCAGTAAGATACATTAGGAAGTTCACTTGAATCTATATCCTCTACAAATTAATGATGGCCAGACATTCAATTTGCTGTAATAAAACTAAGCTGATTAAATTTCTCTAACATTGATTTACACTAAATTTGTATTTTGGTATACCAACTAGCTTTCATTCTCTTTTTCAAAGTATATTTTTTATTAAATCATAGAACAATTATTTCCAAAAATCTCTTACACACACATACATTAAGGAAAATATTTTTAAATTTTGGAGGACATAAATATAAAATATTTTTCACACTTAAAAAGATAGTATGTAAAGTACTTCAGTAAATAGTTTAAAAATTGCTTACAACTAGGAAAAGGCAAATACACTCTTCTCCTTATTTTATACTCCTTCTCAGCACAAACTATGTTTTTAAATGATAGCATTTAAAAATGTAAATGACATTAGCAGCTATAATGATCTCTAAGTATTTCTAGACAAGGCTTAGATGTATTTACATAGTTTGGCCACTTAAAATATCACCAAGATAAAACTGTCACTGATAAGTTTCAATCTAATATCAGAAAAAATTGTGCTGAAAACTTTGAAAGGTAAAAAAAAAATTACTGGGGGTCCTATCTAGTGTACCCTTCAGAGTTATCTGTGTCTTTCAATCTCTTTGAGCTATTTTACAGCTCTGTAAGTTGAGGAACACTATGAGTAGTGCGAATGATTCTTGCATATAGAAATGTAAATGAATTTTGTCCAATGGAGTTAAAGTTGATTCTAGTGGATAACGACCATTTATTTTGACATTCCTGATTGCCTATATATGCATGCTCTTAGAATACTCATTTGAACTGCTTGTGATATCTTACTGGTACCTTCATTAATTAAAGAGTCAAATAAAATCTTTGACATGTTGATTTTATATTTATATGAGTCATGGATTTGTGTTCCTAAAAAACATCCTTTATAAAGAAAATGTGGTATATATACAATGGCTATCATTCAGCCATAAAAAGGGAGGAAATCTTGCCATTTGCAATAACATGGATGGAACTTGAGGGCATAATACTGAGTGAAATAAGTCAGACAGGCAAAGACAAATACTGTATGATTTCACTTACATCTGGAATGTAAAAGAAACAAACAAAACAACTGAGTTCATGGGTACAGAGAACAGATTGGTGGTTGCCAGAGGCAAGAGGTGGGGAGTGGGTGAAATGGGTGGAGGTGGTCAAAAGATACAAACTTCTAGTTATAAAATAAGTAAGTCATGGGGATATAATGTACAATACGGTGACTAGAGTTAATAATACTGTATTGAATATTTGGAAGTTACTGATAGAATACATCTTAAAAGTTTTCATCATAAAAAAAAAAATTTGTAACCATATATGGTGATGGATGTTAACTAGACTTATTATGGTGATCATTTCACAATATATACAAATATCAAAAGATTATGTTGTACACCTCAAACTAATGTCATATATCAAGTATACCTCAATAAAAATACATCCTTTGACAACTAATGAAATTTAAATTTACTAAATGTAGGTTAAAATATTTTGAATCAATACTAATTTTCAGAGCCTCCTCACTAAGTTTAGTTTAAAATTTAAAACTTTTCATCACGGAACAATTTAAAAGTTTTTGCATTTGTTTGAGACAGCTTTGTCCAAAGTGTGTTCTGAGATATTTCTTGAAAAGAAGGATCTATGGTAAAATGTGTGCTTAAAGTGCATTGGTTTTTTTCTGGTAGAATTCCTAGTGGTCTTTACCATGTGACTGTCCACTGAGATTTAGAGGCCCTTTCTAATCCAGTTTAATGTTCCCTAAGCAATCACACCTTCAGTTACTCTCTTTCATAAAACTTTTGCTATACTCAGAGCAATAATCACTACCTCCTCCCTCACCTCCCATGTTACCTATTCTGAACTTTCCAATTTTTCTCATCCTCTGTCAACAATGCTTTCCCCTCATCTCTCTGCTTTTCCAAATTCTAATTGACAACTGTAATTTTCCTACTTCTACTTTTTGTAATAATTCAAATATGGCTTATATTTGCCACCAGACTGAGAGTTCTTAGAGAATCAGGAATATCTTATTAATTTTTGTATGAGGCTATAGAGGAGAATTGAAATGAATTAACACTTTGACTTTTAGTTAAGACTTCTCTTTGTAGGTTTCCTAGATTACTCTCACCTATTTATTACCTATCATTTAAGTGAAAATTTTCATTCTGTTCCTTGATATTTTTTTTCTATTATTCCTTGCATTATCACTTAACTTTTGCAGTCTTATTGGCTGATGACTTATCTCCCACCTAGATTTTCAATTTCTTGGAGTGAAATTATCTTTATGTCTCTGCATCACCTGGCATGTTCAATAGATGAAGTGAGTTACTATTTGAATGATTTCAATTGAAGTAAGTACTCCCTAGTAGAAATGCCAATGATCACAGAGGGACCAAAAAAAATGTGCAGGATAAATTTATTGTCATGAAATAAGTGCTTGTTCTAAGACAGATTCCTATTATAATGACTAGTGAAGCTATTTTTATAGCTTGGTTAGTTATATTTTTAGTATATTTTTAATAATTCTGATTACATATCTTCACTATACAAACATTCAGAAAAAAAATGCATTGTTTCTCACTCCAATGGCTTAAGTATTGAAAACAAATATATTAAAAACAGCCACCCATCCCAGAGGCTATTATATGATTTAATTGTGCTTACTAATTACTAATTTAAAAACTGAGATTTTTACCAATTTTCTTCAATAACTAATTATTGAATAGATTTTGGAAACTATGTACTGTAGGAGGCACTGAAATGGAAAAATACACCAAATTATCTTATAAAGGACTACACAAGCTAACCTGATGCTGGCCCTCTTGTGATAACTGCTACAATTGAGATCTAAATAAAATGCTAGTGAGCACCACCAAATGAAAAAGACTAATTCAGACTGGAAGAGCAGTTGTGGAGAGATTAAAAGTGAATGTTCCATTTCAGTTGGTTACTAAAGGATGGATAATAAAAAGATGAATTCTGTCAGTGGTTGTACAGCTCATGCACTGCAGGATGGCGGCAAATAAGGGTGAATTACATTTACACTCAGCCAAGCATCAGCCACTAGTGATGTGTTTCCCTGGAGAAGGGAGTGCCTTTTCCTTCATGTACAGGCACTAGCCTTTCACCAATTTGACACCCCAAAGTATTCTAATTTTCACAATAACATATAAGCTTGTGTTGCATAATAATATGTAGACAACAGAAATCTTGTAGGCATGTAGTGTCCTTGCAGGGTACATATTTAAGGAAAAAGGGGATAGTAACAATAATGCTTTAGGGATAAAAAAGTACAAAGTTGTGTAGGGAGTGGTGAAAAATTTAGTCTGTTTGGAGCAAAGAGTGCTATTAGGGAAAAAGGGAGGAGGCTATAACAGAAAAGTTAGTGAGATGAGTCTAGATAGACTGGAACAGAGCATGTTGTCCGAAATGCCACTCAGAAGAGATTAGATTTTATTCTGTAGGCAATTGCAAGGTACCAACATACTTTAGTAGGAAATGACATGATCAGAACTTAATTTTAAAAGACAGTTGATATTTGTAGGCTGGAAAACAGATATAGGTTGAAGAAAGGATGGAGAATGGAGATGGAGCTCTCAATTGGAAGGATAATGTATATTCTTAGAGGGATTATGAGAATCTGAATTGGAATAGAAGTGGGAGCGAAAAGGAAGGATCCGTCTGAGACTCCTTTTAGAAGTAAAATGAATAGGGAAACGTTGGCAATGAGGGAGATTGAGTTGTAAAAGACTGAGGTTTCTAGCACTGGTCAAGAGGCTAAGGATGATGCCATTTATGATAAGAACAACCATTAATTAAGAAGCAAGTTTTGTTGGATAAGGTTGGGGGTGGAGAAGATAGTTGTTTTATTGTCTCATCTTTGGTAATATATTGGGACATATTTTTCCTCTTTTGTTGTTGTTTCTATTTTCCAAAGTATAATGTATCATGTTATAAACAAAGTACTGTTCACTAGATCTCAACATTTAGTATGCAATATTCACATGCAATTGACGTAAAAGCTTCTATTATAGCAAAACTGTACTTACCTAGTTTCCTTCATTTTTTTCAGTAAATCCCTTCGATATTCTTCTGTTTCCAGTTTTTGCTGAACAATCAGAATTTTCTTGTTTAAGGTAGCCTGATTCTTCTTCGATCTGGCCATTTTCATCATTCCTTTGGCCAAAAGAGTGCGCTCATTATTTAAATTTTGAATTAATAAACGTTCTTCAGCCCTTTGTTTTTTATCTTCTAGAAACAGAGCTCTCCTCTTTCGAACTTCTTCAAGGTAGTTTAGTCTGTCCTGCAAAAGTTGTTGTAACCTTTGCTGAATTGCCTCATTAGCTTTTGCAGTTAGTTTTTGTGCATCATACTTTTTCTTATTTAAATTTTCTTGAACAGTTAAGCTAACTCTTTCTTGAGCAACTTGCGCCGTGGTTACAGCTGTTGCTTTGTTGTTATGGATTTCCTGCTTCTTTTGTTCTGAATAATATTTATCAATATCACAAAGTGTTTGGAGTTTTATACCAGCTCTGTGTGTTGTAAAAAACTCTCTACTTACATTCCTCTTCAACAGCATGTCTTTTTTTTTAATTGCTGGTTTTGGATGAATGGTGGGAAGTGGCTGGGCATATAGAGGAAAAGAATCTTGTTCTTTCTTTTTCAATACTTGAGCATACTTCAATGAATCTGTAGTATGTATGGGTAGTTTGAACACTGATATCCTAAAACTGGCATCCAATTCCTCATCTTCAATTTCATCTTCAGACTCCTTCTGACCTATATCACACAGCAGACAAATATAATGCATTATACAAGTGCTAAGTGCAGTTTATTTTCTGTCCCAATTGTTTTGAAAGCTACATTAATAAAGTTGACAAAAACCTGTTATTTACTTTATTAAGAAGCATTTTTTCTAGAGTGACATTTAGCCTCCTTTCTGTATTTTACATGAAGTGGTATGATAATAAATAAATTGTGCAAAGTTAAGGATTTATATTATAATCCCTAGAGAAAATAAATATATAATGCAAAGAAGTTCAACTGAAAATACAACAGATAAATTAAAATAGATTATAAAAAATATTTGAATAATTGAAGATAGGATAAATGAAACAGAGGAACAAAAAATGAAGAGCGACGTCAGCATCATGTTTCCTTTGTATCTCCCTTCTAAGTTCCAACCAGTAGGACATCCATAGATCAACAAAGGACTCTCTGCATAGCACACCAGAATGCCTGGAGATCCATACATCTACACATCTGATGGTGAGTGGACTGGACCTCCTGGAGGCAGCAGAACCAAAAGAGCAGTAGTGGCAGCTTCCAAGATAGGATGTTCCAGAAACTGCGGCCATATCTGCGACCAGAGGCCTAGGAACTATGGTAATGCCCATGAACAGAGGCCCCAGGAACCCAGGCAGCCTATGCTCCTGGAGGCACCAGGAACTTCTGATGGGCCCACAACTGGAAACTCCAAGAACCACTATGATACCTGTGATCAACTCCCCTACCCCTCCTCCAGTGGCAGTGTGCCTTCAACTCCAACCCTCCCAGCAGCAGGGGCTGCATCCAAGATCCCAACATTTTTGGCAGTGGCACTGGTGCCCATGACCTGAGGTTCTAGGAATCATCCTGATGCCTGAGACTGAAGAATGCAGAAACCAAAGTGGCAGTCATGGATCATGCCCTTATCTTTCCCCCAGCAGGGTGGGTGGTGCCTGCAATCTGATGCTTCAGGAACTGCTGCAGTGCCCATGACCCATTCCCTTCTTTCTCCCCAGTGGCAGCACCACTGACACCACCCTTATAGCAGCAGAGGCAGCATACAAGACCCTGGGCCCAAGAAGCAGCAGTGTGCTTGTGACCTGAGGTTCTAGGAACCAAGCTGGCACCTGAGACCAGAGGCTTCAGGAACTCCAGTAGCACTCATGATCCAGGTACCCCTCCCTCCATGGTGATGGCAGTGTCACCCATGACCCCAGCCCACCCAGCAGTGGCAATGGCACTGCAAACCCAGTGCCTCTGCTGGCAGTGGTGTTAGCACCCCCAGAAAACTCAGGGGCAGCAGTGCCTGAGCCCATACAGAGCCTGCAGAGAACCAGGTAACAGCAAAAGAGGAGCCCATGACTCTGCTCCCTGACAGCTGCAGTGATGCCTGCAATTTTTGCCCTCCACCATAGCAGCAGGAATTGCAGACACAACAAACTCAGATGTGGTGGGGGTGCCCAGCACCTTGGCTTCTGCCTCACTCTCCCCCTCCTTGTGTCACAGTGGGGAAACCAGTGACCTAAGCAACCCAGAAGCAGCAGAGGTGCTCACCAGCCTGGTGGCCCTGGTGGTAAAACCCACGACTGCACATTGTAATCATCAAGGTACCAGCAAGCTCAGGGGCACAAGCAGCATAAGGAGGGCACTGATGATGCCTTTGGCAGAGGGAGATGAATATGGAAAGCACAGGCTCTCAAACACAAACAGAAGCAGCTCAGAATCAAAGTAAACAAAGCTGTACCCAAATAAGAAAGGTGTTTGTTGCCATAAATGCACCAGCAGAGGAAAAACACATCAAGCATCATGAAAAACTATGGTAACACTGTATTACAAACAGAACATACAATTTTCCAGAAACCAAACTTGAAGTCATGGAAGATTTTCATCTAACTGACAGGGAATTCAAAATAGTCCTCATAGAGAAACTCAATCATTTACAATAAACTCAGAAAAACAGCTCAATGAGCTCAGGAATAAGATTAATGAACAGAAGGAGTAACTCATGAAAGAGACTGAAACTCTAAAAAAGAACCAAATAAATTCTGGAGCTGGAGAACACAATAAATGAGATAAAGAATAAAGTAAAAAGTCACTGAAAACACAGCAAACCCTATGGAAGACTTAGTAAGCTTGAAGACAGAAATCTAGAAATGATTCAGGTGAACAATGAGAGAAAGAGGGGCTGACATGGTGGAGTAGTGGTTAAGTTCATGTGTTCCACTTTGGCAGCCTAGGGTTCACCAGTTTGGATCTCAGGCATGGGCCTATGCACCACTTATCAAGCATGCTGTGGCAGGCATCCCACATATAAAGTAGAGGAATATGGGCATGGGTGTTAGCTCAGGGCCAATCTTCCTCAGCAAAAAAGGGAGGATTGGGGGTGGATGTTAGCTTAGGGCTAATCGTCCTCAAAAAAATGAAAAAAGAAGAGAGACCTACGATTTTTTTCAAAAATGGAGAAATGTTATGAGAAATATCTCCCTCAATCAGGAAAAGCAACAAAAAGATAATGGGTATCCAACAAGGAAAAGAGTGGGAGAAGGGAGCAAAGAGCTTATTTAAAGAAATAAATAACAGATAATAAGAGCAAACATTACATTAAAACTGTCAAAATCAATGACAAAGAATATTAACAACAGCCAGAGAGCAGAAAATAATAACCTAAAAAGGAACCCCATTAGGCTATCAGAGGATTTCTCACAAGATGCTCAACAGGTCAGAAGAGAGGGAAATCATATATTCAAAATAATTAAAGATAAAACCTGTCAGCCAAGAATACTCTACCCAGCAAAGTTATCTGTCAAATATGAAGGAGAAATAAAGGCTTTTACAGACAAACAAAAGCTGAGGGAGTAATCACCACTAGATTTTCCTTGCAAGAAATCTCAAAAAGGGCTCTCCTACCTGAGACAAAAAGGCAAAGGTAAACAAAGATTTAAGCAAAGTGATAAATAGACCAACAAAATCAGAAAACTGAAACTCTATATCAGAAGAAGTAGGTAAACACTTCACTATAACATAAAGGTTAAAGGGAAAGGAGGCATTAAAAATAACTATAACCACTTCAATTTGGTAACAAACTCATAATTCAAAACGCATAATTTGTGACAACAAAAACATAGACGTGAAAGAGGAAAAAGACAGAACTTGCTTAGTCTAATGGAGATAAGATTCTATTAGCAGAAAAAGGACTATCTTATCTATCAGAACTTTTATACAAACCTCATGGTAACCAAAAAATAAAAATTTAGAGTAGAGACATGAAACATGAAAAAAGAAGAAACTCAGACACATATCACAGAAAAACGAAGAAACTCAAACACACATCACAGAAAACTACCCAACAGAAATACAAGGAAAAAGAAACAATGGAAATATAGAACAACAAGAAAAAAATAACATAAAATGTCAGTATTAACCACTTACATATCAATAATCACCCTAAATGTAAATGGATTGTATTCACCAAAGAACACAGAGTGACTGGAAGGATTAAAAAACAAGACTCAACAATATGCTGCCTCCAGGAGAGCCATTTTGGCTCTAAAGAAAAGAATAGGCTCAATATGAAGAGCTGGAAGATGATACTCCAAGCAACCAAATGAAAGTGAGCGTAGCCAAATTTATCTAAGACAAAATAGCCTTTGAGCCAAAAAGGCAAGAGACAAAGATGGTAAAGGGGAAAATGCACCAAGAAGATATAACATTTATTAATATGTATGCACCTGTCATAGGAGCACCAAAGTATATAAAGCAACTATTAACAGACCTAAAGGGAGAAATTGACAGCAACAGAATAATAGTAGTGGGAGATGTTGTCAAGATGGTGGCATAGGCAGACCCTGAACTCACCTCCTTTCATGGACACAGCAAGTTTACAACTACTCTTGGAACAATTACCCCTGAGACAGAACCAAAAACTAGAAAGAACCCACACAACAAGGGACAAATGCTGACTGAGATGGAAGAGGCAGAAATTCCTTTCTGGAGAGAAAAAAGCCACCTTTGAGCCATGGCGCTTCACAGCCAGCTGGAAGCAGTCCTAATATACTTAGCCTTCCCTGGAGGAGTGGTGAATCTGCGAAAGGGAGCTTTACCACAATAAACTGCTTTTGGACTCAGCACAACCAAGATAAGTATCACAATATCTGTCTATGCTGGCTATTAACTATAATGGGGAATACCACCAGAAAAGCTATTGGACATAAGGAAAAAAAGCCTGCTCTTAAAGTGCCCAAGCACAAATGCACCCATTTCAGAAAGCAAGCTAACATAACCAGAAGGAAAGGTGTACAGTACTTTGGTAAAAAGAGACTTACTTGATACCCTCTGGGTGCATCTTGGTGAGAGGTGAGATCTCACCAGGAATGAGACTGGTGGCAGCCATTACTGTGACCTAGTACAGGCATGCTGACAAAGATGCTGGCAGATGCATTGGAGTTCTTCCACTAGCCTGTTAGCCCAGGATGTACCTCACAAACTAGAGCACAGATTTAACCCAACTCAGCCAGAGCAGGCAGCCCACCATAGGGACTGGCTCCACCCAACAGCAAGCACTCAGGCAACTTGTGGGCCATCATAGGTGGGTGCTTGGAACTTCTGCAGTGAGGTGAGTGGGTCTGCCTCTGCATGGATGGGCAAGTGCAAGGGGTGGGCCTGCATTGGTGGAGTGTGTGGGGCCTCTGCAGTGGCGTGACTGGGTCTGCTGCAGTGGGGTAAGTGGATCTGCTTCAGTGGGTTGGGGCACACAGATAGGGCAGGACTGTGTTGATGGCGTGTGTGGCCCTGCAGATGGTGGGGCTTGTCAGCAGCAGCAGACTTGTGCTTCTCACACAGCCACATAGGGAATTGGCCGCACCTTCAAAAGCCTAAAAAATTTGGGTGCTCCCATGCCTGAGGCCAGCCTCACTCAGCTGCAATCTTGAGAGAGCTGACAACAGCATTGCAGGCCAGAGGTCTACAGCAATTGTACGCCCTTGAGCCTAGCAAATAGCCATGCTGGGGGACAA